TAATTTCATTTGTTTAATAGATTTGTATGTATATAGAGAAGGAGGTAATTAGAAATCACAATGAAATTGATCAAGTTAGATTTATTTATACGCATAAATACAATTATGTCAATTTTTTTAGTTTAATGTGTCTTGAAAACATTGACACTACATTCACTTTTCACTGCACTTGATACTCGACCAAAACATGTCAATCACATGTCAATGTACTATAATATAGCAGCTGTCCACGCAGACGCATCGCTCACTCAAGTAGGAGAGAGACGGATGGCGAACGCTGCCGAACGCGAAGGCCGATTGTGCCTCTTTGTCGCTCGTTCCGCGTTCTCGCTTGCACTTCAAGCCTTACATGGGACGCCTCAGAGCGAGGTAACGCCGCATGAGTCATGCTTTTTCGTGCGTGCAGCCGGCTCCATCGATTTATAAGACGTTGTCACATCAAAAACCTGTGCGACATTCGAACGTCGCAATTTCTAAGCAAGCACAATACACCATGAGCCACTGTACAGTTTCGATTTTTTTTTGTGAAAATGGGATGCCTCACGGAAAATTTGACAACAGATTGTAAAGAACAAGTACAGAAGTATGTTATTTCATATAATTTGAATCCTACTTACTATGAAAAATTTTGAGGGGATGTCATCCATCACATTAGGGGTAGGGATGATCTGGCAAATTTTGGTAAGGGTTTTACCATCTACATGATTTTCTTAATATACATACAACAATCGGTCCAGTAATTTCGATTATTATCTATGTAATAAAAATCGACACGAGTACAGGCAGACAGACGGAAACGGGTGACCACATTTTTCGTACTAAACGTCATGATACTCCGAGAAAACGTGAAAGTGGTCGTCTGAGGAACTCGATTACTATACTTCCTTAGCTTACAATTGAGAGTTAAAAACGCAAGTACAAATTTAAATTTACAAAAAGGAATTTCTACCGATACTGAGAATTATAGCCAAAAGAACATATACTACTTACGTTTACATACACTACATTTATCTACACTGACGTCATGTACGAACTTATATTTAAAACTGTTAACAGATATCCAGCGCTAATAAGTTCCAGGTGTTAAAAATTTTGTTTAGAAAAAATAGGGTTGAACAATCAATTTTTACTTCCCGAGCGTAAGCAAAGGAAGTATTGTAATCGAGTCCGTCGGCCGACTCTCTACTTTTACGTTTTCTCGATCTTTCATGACCCCTAGAAGACGTAGAAATAGGTCTCCCATTTCCGTCTGTCTGTCCGTCTGTCCGTCCGTCTGTCCGTCCGTCTGTCCGTCTGCCCGTCTGTCCGTCTATCCGTCTGCCGTCCCGGATTTTTATTAGACAGATAATCTCCGAAAGTACTCGACCGATTGTTGTGAAATTTTGTACTTATATTAAGAATATCATGTAGATGGTAAAACGCTAACCAAAATTTGTCTAATCATCCCCACCACTAATGCGATGACGTCACTTCAAAATTGTACATAGTAAATGGGTTTTCAATTGTATAAAATAACATAGTCCTACACATGTAGTTTACTAGTCTGAATCGACTTTTCACCCGAAACGTCCAGATTTTTGGAAAAAAAATCAAAATTATAAAACAACATTTTGAAATTTAATTTTTAATCTGCTAACCAGAATGCTTTGAAATGTTGCAGATGTTTTAAAGCTATAAAGAGCATCATAAATCTTTAGTCAAAAAATATTTGCTTATCCCCTCCAAAAACTTGATGACGTCAGCTCAAAAGTTTGTGGAATAAATCATATCTAAAATGCACAAAATATGATGAGTCTGTACTTGTGATCTATCACTCCATTCATATTTTTTGGATTTGCATATACAGGGTGACTCAAAAAAATTAATGAATGCGTAAATTTATTTTACTGATTTACTCAGAAACTACAAAACCGAATGCTTTAAAATCTTGCAGATGTTTTAAGGTTATAAAGAGCATAATAAATGTTTAGTCAAAATATATTTGCTTATCCCCTCCAAAAAATTGATGACGTCAGGTCGAAAGTTTGCCGAATAAATCTTATCTAAAATGTGCAAAATATGATGAGTCTGTACTTGTCATTTATCACTCCATTCATATTTTTTGGATTTGCATATACAGAGTGACTCAAAAAAATTAATGAATGCGTAAATATATTTTATTGATTTAATCAGGAACTACAAAACGGAATGCTCTGACATCTTGCAGATGTTTTAAGGTTATAAAGAGCATAATAAATGTTTAGTCAAAATATATTTGCTTATCCCCTCCAAAAACTTGATGACGTCAGCTCGAAAATTTGCCGAATAAATCATATCTAAAATGTACAAAATATGATCAGTCTGTACTTGTGATCTATCACTCCATTCATATTTTTTGGATTTGCATATACAGGGTGATACAAGAAAATAAATGAAAGCGTAAATTTATTTTACTGATTTACTCAGGAACTACAAAACCGAATGCTTCGAAATCTTGAAGATATTTTAAAATTATCATAAGCATGGTAAATTTTTGATCAAAATGTATTTGGTCGTCCCCCCTAAAAAAATTATGACGTCACCACAAAATTTTGCTGAATAAATCCTATCTAAAATGTACAAAATATGGTGAGTCTCTTCTTGTGATTTATCATTCCATTCAAATTTTTTCGATTTGCATATACAGGGTGACTCAAAAAAATTAATGAATGCGTAAATTTATTTTATTGATTTAATCAGGAACTACAAAACCGAATTCTTTGAAATCTTGCAGATGTTTTAAGGTTATAAAGAGCATAATAAATTTTTAGTCAAAATATATTTGGTTATCTTCTACAAAAAACTGATGACGTCAGCTCAAAAGTTTGCCGAATAAATCGTATCTAAAATGTACAAAATATGATGACTCTGTACTTGTGATTTATCATTCCATTCATATTTTTGGATTTGCATATGCAGGGTGACTCAAAAAAATTAATGAAGGCGTGAATTTATTTTATCGATTTAATCAAGAATTACAAAACCGAATGCTTTGAAACCTTGGGAATATTTTAAAGTTATTGGTAAACTTTTGTTTAAAATGTATTTGTTCATCCCTCCTAAAAAAATTGATGACGTCACCCTTAAATTTTGCTGAATAAATCCTATCTAAAATGCAAAAAATATTATGAGTTTGTACTTGTGATTTATCATTCCATTCATATTTTTTAGATTTTCTTAAGAGGTGGTTCAAAAAAATTAATGAAGTCAATTTATTTTATTGATTAAATTAAAGGCAACACTTATTATTAGTATTACACCCCAACCAACCCAATTTGGTAGACACAAAATTTGTTACAGGAAAAACTCGGTTGAAACATAAGGGTAGCACGCTTATTTACATCGACTTTAACATTACAGACCTGCATTTGTTTTATGCGCTCACTTGGTTCCGCGAATGTGAAATAGACATGTTTATAATCAACCAATTGTGAATTTCACCGTCAAGAATTAAAATAAAACCCAATGTTTTATATAACAAGCGGAAGTCGAAGCAATAAAACCGATGGTCGTTTTGTTTACAGTTTCTCTGTTTGACTCTCACGTATGCTGTCACGTCTGTCATCTTAAATTAAGAATGTTTATACATACACGATTTTCAGTTGCCTCTGATACGTATACGTGAGTAAATTGTTTCGTTATTTTATTGATTATTACAAATCAATATTCAAAACGACCCAATTCATTTTCCCGAAAATTTGAGAATATAATAATTTTATTCTTAGTATTACACTACATCTATCCCAACTGATATACGTGTCCTTGCAAAAATGTTGATGACGTCATCGCAATTTTTTTTTAAATTCCCACTACAAAAATGTAATGAGAAAAAAAACACAATAGGCATGCAGTCGTCAAGTTTCCGACAGCGAGGGAAGTACTGTCTAAACTCTTTAGACCAATTTTTTATAAATGTTTGGATCCCGCGAACACCTCGACAAGCACTGCACTGCTATGAATCAAATGTGAACATGAGGTCGAAGATTAACAACAGTGTAAAATAATGTTTGTTGCTTGTATTCTCAATTGCAATGAATAACCATAAACAAACTTTTCACGCTGCTTTTTAAAATTGTTCTAGAGCACTCCGTAAATTTTTGGGGAATAACACAAATCAATACATGGTTTCTGGAAAATTTTTAATATTTGAGCATTATAAATACTAACACATATAAATATATTAATTTAGTAATTACATTTTTTATTTAACTTCTTGTCACATTTTACATAACGACGATTATAATATAAAATTACACTACATTTTTTGTTTGAGTTGTTGTACGTACCAGAAATAATTGATGATAATTTAACACAATTTATCACTCTTTGTGATGTTCTATCAAACACAATAAGTTTTAAACTGACTCCCGAACCAACTACTACAGCCTTGCTGTGGTTTTGCATGTTTTTTTAAGAGTAATATTTTGCAATATTGTGTAATATCATACCGTAGGTTATTAACCGATTTTCGCGTAGTGTGTGATGTAGTATATATTCTGGAAAGAAAATTTTGCAAACCCTAACTAAAAAAAATTAGTAGCGCAAAAACCAAATACTTGAATTGTTTGAACTGATTATAGGTATCAAACAGATACATATGCTAATATGTTCGGTAACAACAATAAAATGACAAGTGATGAATTTACATCAGTTTATGCTATTAGTTAAAGTGAGGGCGTAAAGACTTCGATAAATTATATCTTATATGACCTTGGATATGACATACGCGATCATGACCGCTCGATTTTCTTTTTGTCAAAGAGTCTAAATTTAAGTCAGTTCTCGTTCCGATTCTCCCTTAAAAAGGAAAATTGATTGTTCGGTTTTATTGTAGCGACGACATTGGAAAATAGGTAGATATTTATGCAAAACTGATATCAAAACAATCACCGAAACTAATAACTTTATATGAATGTTTGATATTATTAACATAAGGAAGATCATAACGGACACAACCCTAAGATAAGTAATGAAGACAAGAATTCATCTCAGATTTATTTTCATTTTTTCAAAAATGCAAGTATCAAATTTTAAACACTGTTGAAACAATAATGTAACAAAAAACTTAAGTAATATGCACTAATCTGTATACTGGTTCTCTCATAAACTTATATTATCACCTCTTGTTTTATAATTCTGCAACAAATAGACACCATAATTATCATTATATTATCGATAATAGAAGACTGCTTACCTTTTCGGCTATTGTTCTTAAATTTTCAGACATCACTTTTCCTGTTTTCATGACTAAATTATAGAATGTTTTCTTTTTTTCTAATAGCACATACGGATGATCAAATTCAACTGCATGTCCTTCATCCATCACTAAAACCTTATCGGAATCCATTATTGTGTGTAGTCGATGAGCGATCGTTAAAACAGTGCAATTAACAAAGCTTTTCTTTATTGTACTTTGCAATAACTCATCCGTCTGTGGATCAACATTTGCAGTTGCTTCATCCAAGATTAAAATATTGTTATTTTTCAGCATGGCTCTCGCCAAACAAATTAGCTGTTTTTGTCCAACACTGAAATTAGTACCACCTTCTGACAAATTACTTTGAAGATTTCCAGACATATTAGAGACAGCCTCTTTCAGTCTAACTTCGTCCAACACTCGCCAGATTTCTTCGTCAGAATATTGATTAAATGGGTCTAAATTTTTACGTACTGATCCCTTAAATAAAACTGGATCTTGAGGAATAATCGAAATCTTGGGTCGTAAAGAGGATAAAGCGACATCTTTGGTATCTACGTCGTCTATAAAAATATTACCCACAAAGTTAACCAAACGGAACAAAACCGAAATTAACGAAGATTTTCCGGCGCCCGTTCTACCAACAATACCTATTTTTTCCTTAGGTTTTATAAGTATATTCAAGTTTTTAAGGACGTAAGGATCATTCGACGAATACTGCATAAACACTGACTTAAATTCAATTTTGCCTTTAGCAGGCCAAGCAGACGAAATTGCTTTCACTTGATCATTCTTCTCTTGCTCTAGTTCTGTATATTCAATCACTCTTTCAACTGACGTCATCTGATTTTCAAGTTCGCTCAACATTCGGATTGTCCATTGAAACACAGCTACCAGATTCATAGATTTTGTGATAACAAAACCGACAGTTCCACCATAAGAATCTAAAAAAAAAAATAATCCCCAGAAGAAAGTACTTTGCATTTCTTACCTTGAAAAATTGTCATAAATGTGACTGCCGAGGAGTAGCACATACAAACGATATCTAACCAAATGGAGAAAGCTCTGTCGGTGCCTAACTTCATATAGAAAATAGAGCTGTGAAAGTTTTGCAAATTGTCAAATTCTTTGTGTAAGATGTGTCGAATATCGAAAGCTCTAATAGTAGTTAAACCCTTAACAGATTCTGTCAAGTGGGCCAAAATTGGACTCCGACCTAAAATTATGTTGTATATTCTTGTTTGTCTGTTTGGCTTTATCAATAAACATTTTGATATTGCAATGCTAGAATTGAAGTCACCTTCTTTGAATTTCTATTTCTCGTATCTAACAACTGCCAATTATATCAATAAGGTTTTGACTTAGATTTCATCTTTCTCAAATAAAATCAACTCATTTAAGAAATTATATTAGCCGAATTTTTCGCAGAAAGGAGTGAGCATAATTGTACTTACTTGTGGATTCCAACCGGTTAACACTTAAACTACTAGCCAAGTAGATTTTTCTTATAATATACATCAGTATTAATATTATAAAGGTAGGAATGAGACTCCAAGGACTAATTATACAGATTGATATAATGCCACCAACAACAGCTATGCTTAACTGGAAAATCATCAATTAAAACCAGAAACGTGTTGCATTTCTTTTACCTCAATTGTGTTGAAAAGTACTTGTGGTAAAGTTTCATCTAAATTTCCTATATCTTTAGAAAATCTATTTAATATTCTGCCTGATACATTGGTGTGGAAAAATTTCATTGTAGCATTTACAATAGTCGTAAACATTTTGTTGTGTAAATGTACAGAAGCACGCATGCATACTTTCTTAAAGGATATGGCTCGAGTAGGTGTTGTGATAATTAAAAGTCCAATTATGGTGGAATATATATAGATGGTGCTAGCATCAGCAAAAATTATTTCCTCAAACCCATTTTGCATAGTATAATTTGCTGACATTCTTCGTTGCTCAAAATTTACCCTTCAAAAGATTCTGTTATGATAATCACCAAAATATTTTAATTTTACCAGAATGCAAGAAAGTAGTCGGCCGTTATCGTAAGGCACTCACATAAAACAAATGGTATTAATATTAAGAAACAGATACAGTAAGAACCACAAGCACGCATATAACTTTGATAAACTTTGACAGACACTTTGCCAATAGCCCGCGTTTCACTTGATACATTCTGTTCTTTATGCTCTATCTTAGATAGATCGGTACCATTCATTTCACTTGATTCGTCCTGACGGGTCTCGTTTTCTTTCAAAACATAGGCAAAATTATTCCCTTTTAGAAGATCTGTGTAACTCCCAGAAACTGAAATGTTGCCATCTGTCAGTAGATAGATTTTATCAACAGATGCTAAATACTGTGTCTGGTGTGTTACTAAAATTGTGCATTTGCCTTTCAGGTAACCAATTATACAATTGTTAAAAATTTGTTCCCCAACATTTGCGTCTACAGCTGATAGAGGATCATCAAGTAAGTATATGTCTGCGTCTTTGTATACAGCTCTAGCCAAACCGATTCTAGCTTTCTGGCCACCACTTAAAAGGATTCCACGTTCCCCTACTATCGTGTTATCACCATGAGGAAACTGTGCCATGTCGTCTTCTAAGGCACAAACTCTTACAACTTCTTTATATTTTTTAGGCAGCAATGGTAGACCAAAAAGAATGTTTTGCTTCACTGTACCTCCGAACAACCAAGGTTCTTGGTTTGCGTAAGCAATTGTTCCATCAACTTCTTTTAACCCTTCAATAATCTGCATTTCACCTAGACATAAGTGCAACAAGCTTGATTTTCCACTGCCAGTGGGTCCTACTACGGCGACTGTCTGATCTAGATAAATTTCAAAGTCAACACCTGATAATGTATTATGCTCACTCTTCTGCAACCATCTCGCAGTCACTTTTTTTATTTTAATGCCAACTGCTTTCCTTGTTTTTTTAGCCAGTTCCACTTCTTCTAAGTTTAAAAATTTTTCTAATCTTTTGACGGATACATTGGCTTTTAGTACATCCGCAACTCCTATCGGAAGAAGAACTGATACCGAAAATACCAATATCGAATAAAATGAAGTTATAACATATACGTAATAAGCGTTTGGGTTATTTCCCATTAAAACATAGACCAATATACACAAAAATATAACAGTTCGCTCAACGAATTTCATTACCGATATCAGGAACGAGAATAAGTAAGTCAATTTTTTTATAAATTTCACTTCCACCCTAAAAGCATTGATAGTCGTAGTTTTAGAAAAACTGAAGTTATATTCACCTTCTAAATGTATCAATTAGTTTGATAAATGGTTGCTCCCATCCATACAACTTGATGACTTGAATACCTGAAATGATCTCATTCATGTGACTCATTCTGTCATCAGTTCTCACAGCAACTTTTAATCTTAAACTCGCTACGATCTTACTGAGAAACACTAAAATTTTTTAAAGATTATCATATTATTATCTTCATAAAATGTTGGAACATACTTTGGAACGGAGTAAGAGTGATTATCAAAACAATCCCTACTAAAGCTGTAGGTCCACAATAATCGTAAAGAAGATAAAGGACAATTGCCGTCTGAAATGGCGAAATACAAATAGAACAAAGAGCACGTATAAGGGGATTCATTTGTTGCATATCGGTGGTCAGTAAATTCACTATCTGTCCAATGTTCGTGTCACCTAGAGCTGATTTACTCAGACGCAATGATTTTCGATAAACCATTGACGAGCAAGCGACTCTGATTTTCATGAACACTTGTAACTGTTGCAGTACAAAATAATTTGAAAAAACTGTATCTGTCATGCTAATGATTACGATTATGCCAGCGTACAAAATTGCATCATTTTTTGATGATTCTGTCGACTCAAATGAGTAATAAGCCATGAGTTTTCCAAAAGCTATAGGACGGGCAATTCTGAAAACACGCCTAAATAGTAAACGAAGTATAAATTTGATGAAGATTACTTCAAGCCCAATTCAATGAAAGAACACAAAGTTAAGCACACAATTACATCTAATTTGAAAACTTTCCATATGGCTTTCCACAAGGAGGGTGAGGCGGTTTTTTGTTGGGTCTTCCATGCTTTTTCTAGCTGGTTAGCTAGGCCTTCAGATTGGTGGTGCTGTAAAGTTTGATAAACGTCTTCCTCTGATATGTCTTTTTTCAAGCCTCTTCGGAATATTGGCACTGTCCAGCTTTAACAATTTCAGTGAAAAAATTGATAAACCGAAACAGATTGTATTAGTTACCAGTAAAATAAGGCTGACAAAATATTTGAATTTTCTTGAGGGTGTGGTTTTAGTTTTCGTTTGGTGGGCCCATTTTGGTCCTCCATTGAACTGTTAGAAAGAAACATAAAGACAAGTGATCTTGTTGACTGAACGTAATGCTTAAATTAATTGAAATAGTTTGTTTCAAAATTAAGTAATTTATTACTGCCGGTTTCATGTTATATCTGTAGGTATCTATCTAAGTGTCTGCCATCTGTCCGGATGTTTATTCCTCGGATAATCTCCGAAACTATTGGACCGATTGTTGTCCAACTTTGTATATATATTTCTATTAGGAATAGCGTGTGTAAATGGTATAGCTGTAACCAAAATTTGTCTAAACATCCCCACCAATAACATAATGACATCCCCGCAAAATTTTGTACAACAAACTTACATTTCATCAAATAGTACTTACTCCAATAGTTGTGGTTTATGAATCCGACATGTTTTTGATTATTATTATTACTATATCTAATAACTTAATAATTTGTATGAACCAGTGTCGAATTGTTTCGAAATTTAAGTGACACGATTTAGATGTTACAAACGCTCAAGACCGGATTTTAGCAGGGAAAGATAAAAGTTGATGCACTGATATTTTATTTGATGCCTTAGAAAATTGCGGTATCTAATTTTAGATTAATCATTAAAACAAAATCGAGAATACCCTATTTTCGATGTACTCCCTCGCACCAGTGATGTGGCAAGAGAAACGCGAAGGTGCAAATTCGATATGAAATATATATATTTAAAGCCGATAACCAACGGAAAGCAATGGATTCTTAATTGCTAGTACTGGTTTAACTTCAACTGTTTAGTTAGCTGCTTAGCCAAAATTTTTAAGCAAGACAGAATGTACCAATGTCAACAGCAACTTTAAATATAATTTCTCATTTTTATCTCAAGTTTAAAAATTACGCTATCTTCAATTTTGAAAAAATAAATTAAAAAATTGTTATTTGCTGATTTTGTAGCGTATTCAAAATGTATCCACAAAATTCTTTGCATCTTAATAATGGGACAGTGATACAGAAAAATTAGTCGAAAGTTGTTTCGATAGAGCTTCCGTCACACCTAAAGTACAATGAAACATACCCAGTATTTTCGAGTTGAGTTTTTTCTTGACACAATTTTGTGATGACATCATCATCATTTTTGCAAGGACACATATATCAAATAAATGATTAACTTGTAGAGATTAAAGTTCTGAAGAAAACACTTAATTTTAATAACTAACAATGGAAATACTTTTAAATATTTGGTTGGTCTTATTACTGATGACACACCACAACTGTATGATGTAATAACAAAATTTTATTATCCATGACAATTTCCTCCTTTCTTATCAATCATGACGGACTGACAAAATCTGGGGTTCAGATATCTCTATTAGTAATGATTATCACCTTATCAGACACTCATAATATGCAGATTCGGCAAAATTTTGAAATGATGTCATCAATGTTTTTGTGGGAAATAAAGAGATATATTTTTATTACCAATTTATCATGCTTACAAGAACTTTAAAATGCCTCAAGATATCGAATATTCATTAATTTTTTTGATACACCCTGTATAAGCAAATCTAAAGAATATTAATGCAGTGATAAATCACAAGTATTGACTCATCATATTTTGCACAGTTAAGAGAGTATTTATTCAGCAAAATTTTGAAATCGAGAAAACGTAAAAGTAGAGAATTGGCCGACGGACTCGATTACAATACTTCCTTCGCTTACGCTCCGGAAGTAAAAATGCAATAATTTTCAGCTAAAGTTCACGCAGTCTGTTTAATCTTGTATTTTTTCTGCGGCAATTTTGGAACAACTTGGAGTAAACCCTGACACAAAAACAATGAACTCTTAAAAAATCTAAAATTGGTTAAGATTCGCTGCAATGGTCGACACGAGAACCGAGCTGATTTCTACACCAACTATTTTATGAACTGATGATCTTGAAATGGTGGAAGTGATTACAGTCAAACAAAACTGCTGAGAATATCTCGGTTCATCTTTTTAAGTCGGGGATTAAAAAACTTAGTAAAGCCAAATACTTTGACTAAGTACAATTAAGTATTAAACATGGTGCTGCTTGTTTTGTCTATATTCCATATTTTAATAAGTTATGGCAGTCCTAGGAGACTATAACAATGACGGTGAGACGTTTTATTTTCTTCTCCCACAGAGCTTAATTATTTTGTATTTTAATTATATACAACTTCTTATAACGGATTTTTTATTATATTTTTGTTTCTATTTTTAAAGCGAAACTCCGAAAACAATATTATGGAATATTTCTAGCAATTTTAATTTGTTAAAAAAAAGAACATCTACGAAAAAATAAAAATATTGTTCCTAAATGAAACAAACATTCAAGTCGCCACGTTGTATTTTTTTAACAGTAACAATCCTCTAAATGAATTAATATTAAGTGTAAAAAAATAAGACAGTTTTTTATTATCATTTATCATTGTTAAGGCAACTGCAAACAATTGTCACAGAACTCAAGAAAATCAACATATTATTTGATTTAAAAAACATTTCTAGACAATGGCAACAAAATACTCATCATTCATTTTTTAACAACTATTATAAAAACATTTTGCAGTTCATCCGGGTGTGTAATTTATGTTGTTGATGATTCATTTTCATTTGCTAGAACTACAGTTATATTCAGTTTACATGGACGTAACAAATAGAAGTGAATTATGTAACAGTGTTATTCATTGAACGCTCGTCGTTGAAATAACATCGATTCGAGATATTACGAGTATAAATGAAGTGAGTGATTATATACACATATGTAGGTACGTAAACATTATTAATAAAATCAACAAACGGAAAGCAAATACTCGTAACTACCACACAATAGCAAAGAAAATGACTCTGGCTTATTTAGAATTATTGGTAATACCATCCTTGTCCCCGCGTTTTGTCTAAAGGAAAGTTTTTAAAGACCTTTATAAGTTGCTTCTGTTGAAATTTATGGCCCCTTGTTTCCTTTTTATTTTAATTTTTTATAAATTTTTGGGACCCTCAAGTATCTCTACAAGCACTGCACTGCTGTGAATCAAGTGTGAACATGAGGTTTCAGTTTAACAATGTAATATAATGTTTGTTGTTTGTATTCTTAATTCGAATGAGTAACCAAACTTTTCACGCTGTTTTTTGTACTGACATTTAAAATTGCTCCAGAGTACTACATACATTTATGGGGAATTTTGCAAATCGATACGCAGCTGCTCTATATTTGAATTGATATCCTTTGTGGAAAATTTTTAGCTTCTGAACATAATAAATAATAATAAATATGAATATATTAATTCAGTAATTTTATTGTTGATTTAACTTTTTGTCACATTTTACATAACGATACTTCCATAAAATTACACTACATTTTTTGTAGAGTTTTTATACATACCAGAATAATTGATAATAATTTAACACAAACTATTACTGTTTGTGATGTTGTATCAAACACAGTAAGTTTTCAACTGACTCCCAAACCAACTGCTATAACCTTGCTGTGGTTTTGCATGGTTTTTTAAATGTAGTATTTTACAATATTGTGTAATATCATACCGTAGGTTATTTATTAACCGATCTTCGCTTATGTGGTGTAGGAGTATATTCTGAAAAGTAAATTTTACAAAGCCTATCTGAAAAAAATTGGTAGCGCAAAAATCAAACTTGATTTGTTTGAATTGAAGATAGTTACAAAACAAAGACTTACGCTAATATGTTAGGTGACAACAGTAAAGTGACAAATGATGAATTTACTTCAGTTTGTACTATTGGAATTGGAGATGATACAAGCAAGTAAGAGTGAAAAATTAGAAAATATTTTTAAAAATCGCTTTAAACCGTTCGATTTACATATTTATTCATTTATTTTTGGTTTAGAAGGGTCTAAGTCAGGTCAGGTTAGGCTAAATCGGATCAAGTCAGGTTAGGTAAGCACTTTTTGTCGATAATAAAGGTCACCATTTGCATACATTGTCGGCAATGACTTTAAAATCCACCTAATCTGTCAATAATGGACATCTCCCTCATAAATGAAAAGGATTATTGACGGAAGAAGATGTTGGGTTGCCTACATTTACAAAAAAAATGCTATATAAGTTTTGTTTTTAATTAACAATAACTAAAACTGGAGATTACTGTAGGTAATAATTTCCAACCTTTTAGATAGCAAAATATTGTAAAATGACATTGGAAAATAAGTGGTTAATAAGTAAGACTGATGTTAAAACAATCACCGAAAATAACCTTAATATGAATAAACCACAAAAACCACAGTCTTAGGACTGGTGCCAACATCACTAATGAAGACCATACACACAAAATCAAGAAAAATAATGAAGACAAGAATTCATCTCGGATTTATTTTCATTTTTAAATATTAAACATTGGTAAACAATAATATAACAAAAAACTTAGGTAACGTGGACCAAAATCTGTACACTGATTTTCTCATAAAATTATATTATCACCTCTTGTTTTATAATTCTGTAACAAATAGACACCATAATTATCATTATATGAACGACACAAGAAACACTACCTTTTCGGCTATTGTCCTTAAATTTTCAAACATCACATTTCCTGTTTTCATGACTAAATTGTAAAACGTTTTCTGATTTTCTAATAGCACATACGGATGATCAAATTCAACTGCATGTCCTTCATCCATCACTAAAACCTTATCGGAATCCATTATTGTGTGTAGTCGATGAGCGATCGTCAAAACAGTGCAATTTGCAAAGCTTTTCCTTATTGTACTTTGCAATAGCTCATCTGTCTGTGGATCAACATTTGCAGTTGCTTCATCCAAGATTAAAATGTTGTTATTTTTCAGCATGGCTCTCGCCAAACAAATCAGCTGTTTTTGTCCAACACTGAAATTAGTACCACCTTCTGACAAATGGCTGTGAAGATTTCCAGACATATTAGAGACAGTCTCTTTCAGTTTAACTTCATCCAACACTCGCCATATTTGTTCGTCAGAATATTGATCAAATGGGTCTAAATTTTTACGTACTGATCCCTTGAATAAAACTGGATCTTGAGGAATAATCGAAATCTTGGGTCGTAAAGAGGATAAAGCAACATCTTTGGTATCTACGTCGTCTATAAAAATATTACCCACAAAGTTGACCAAACGGAACAAAACCGAAATTAACGAAGATTTTCCAGCTCCCGTTCTACCAACAATACCAACTTTTTCCTTAGGTTTAATAAGTATATCCAAGTTTTTAAGGACGTAAGGATCATTCGAGGAATACTGCATAAATACTGACTTAAATTCAATTTTGCCTTTAGCAGGCCAAGCAGACGAAATTGCTTTCACTTGATCATTCTTCTCTTGCTCTAGTTCTGTATACTCAATTACTCTTTCAACTGACGTCATCTGATTTTCAAGGTCGCTCAACATTCGTATTGCCCACTGAAACACACCTACCAGACTCATAGATTTTGTGATAACAAACCCAACAGTTCCACCATAAGGATCTAAGTAAAAAAATTGAATTCCAAAAAGACAGTATTATGCGTTTCTTACCTTGAAAAATTGTCATAATTGTGACTGCTGAGGAGTAGCACATACAAACGATATCTAACCAAATCGAGAAAGCTCTATTGGTACCTATCTTCATATAGAAAATAGAGCTGTGAAAGTTTTGCAAATTGTCAAATTCTTTGTGTAAGATGTGTCGATTATCGAAAGCTCTAATAGTAGTTAAGCCCTTAATAGATTCTGTCAAGTGGGCCAAAATTGGACTCCGACCTAAAATTATAGACATCTTTGTTTGTCTGTCTAGCTTTGTTGGTGAAGCGTTTGTCAATAAACATTTTAACATTGCAATATTAGAACTGAAGCCACCTTCTTTGAATTTCTATGTTTAGTATCTTACACCTTCCAATTATAACAATGACGTCCTAAATTAGATTGCATCTTCCACAAATATAATCAACACATTCAATTTAACAGAATTTTTTGCAGAAAGTAGCGAAGGTACTTACTTGTGGATTCCAAACGGCTAACACTTAGACTACTAGCTACGTATATTTTTCTTATAATATACATCAGAACTAATATTATAGAGGTAGGAATGAGACTCCAAGGACTAATTATACAGACTGATATAATACCGCCAAGAACAGCTATGCTTAACTAAAAAATGATCAATTAAAAACAGAAACGTGTTGCATTTCTTTTACCTCAATTGTGTTGAAAAGTACTTGTGGTAAAGCTTCATCTAAATTTCCTATATCTTTAGAAAATCTATTTAATATTCTGCCTGTTACATTGGTGTGGAAAAATTTCATTGTAGCATTTACAATAGTGGTAAACATTTTGTTGTGTAAATACACAGAAGCATGCATGCATACTTTGTTAAAGGATATGGCTCGAGTAAGTGTTGTGATAATTAAAAGTGCAATTATGGTAGAATATATATAGATGCTATTATAATCGGCAAAAAATATTTCCTCAAACCTATTTTGCAAAGTATAATTTGCTGACATTCTTCGTTGCTCCAAATTTGCCCTTCAAAAGATTCTATTATGATAATCACCAAAGTATTTTAATTTTACCAGAATGCAAGAAAGTAGTCGGCTGTTATCGCAAGACACTCACTTAAAACAAATGGTACTAATATTAAAAAGCAGATTAAGTAAGATCCACAAGCACGCATATAACTTTGATAAACTTTGACAGACACTTTGCCAACAACCCGCGTTTCACTTGTTACATTTTGTTCTTTATGTTCTAGCTTAGAAATATTGGTACCATTCATTTCACTTGCTTCGTCTTGATGAGTCTCTTTTTCTTTCAAAACATACGCGAAATTGTTCTCTTTTAGAAGATCTGTATAACTCCCAGAAACTGAAATTTTGCCGTCTGTCAGTAGGTAGATTTTATCGACAGATGCTAAATACTGTGTCTGATGTGTTACTAAAACAGTGCATTTGTCTTTCAGGTAACCAGTTATACAATTGTTAAAAATTTGTTTCCCAACATTTGCATCAACAGCTGATAGAGGATCATCAAGTAAGTATATGTCTGCGTCTTTATATACAGCTCTAGCTAAACCGATTCTAGCTTTCTGGCCACCACTTAAAAGGATTCCACGTTCCCCTACTATCGTGTTATCACCATGAGGAAACTGTACCATGTCGTCTTCTAAGGCACAAACTCTTACAACTTCTTTATATTTTTTAGGCACCATTGGTAGACCAAAAAGAATGTTTTGCTTCACTGTACCTCCGAACAACCAAGGTTCTTGGTTTGCGTAAGCAATTGTTCCATCAACTTCTTTTGACCCTTCAATGATCTGCATTTCACCTAGACATACGTGCAACAAGCTTGATTTTCCACTTCCAGTGGGTCCTACTACGGCCACTGTCTGATTTTGATAAATTTCAAAGTCAACATCTGTTAATGTATTATGCTCACTCTTCTGCAACCACTTCGCAGTAACTTTTTTTATTTTAATGCCAACTGCTTTTCTTGGTTTTTTAGTCAGTACCACTTCTTCTAGGTTTAAAAATTTTTCTAACCTTTTAATGGATACATTGGCTTTTAATAAATCAAAAACTGCTAGTGGAAGAAGGACTGATACCGAAAATACCAATATTGAATAAAATGAAGTTAAAACATATACGTAATAAGCGTTTGGGTTATTTCCCATTAAAACATACACCAATAAGCACAAAAATATAACAGTTCGTTCAACGAATTTCATCACCGTTATCAGAAAAGAAAATAAGTAAGTCAACTTTTTTATAAATTTCACTTCCACCCTAAAAGCATTGATATTCGTAGTTCTAGAACATCTGAAGTTATATTCACCTTCTGAATGTATCAATCAGTTTGATAAATGGTTGCTCCCATCCATACAACTTGATAACTTGAATACCTGAAATGACCTCATTCATGTGACTCATTCTGTCATCAGTTCTCATAGCAACTTTTGATCTTAAACCTGCTACGATCTTACTAAGATACACTAAAATGGTTTAAAAATTATCATATTATTATCTTCACAAAAAGTTGGAACATACTTTGAAACGGAGTAAGAGTGATTATCAAAGCTATCCCTACTAAAGCTGTAGTCTCACAATAATCGTAAAGAAGATAAAGGACAATTGCCGTCTGAAATGGCGAAATACAAATAGAACAAAGCGCACGTATAATGGAAATCAGTTGTTGCATATCGGTGGTCAGTAAATTCACTATTTGTCCAATGTTCGTTTCACCCAAAGCTGATTTACTCAGACGTAATGATTTTCGATAGACCATTGACGAGCAAGCGACTCTGATTTTGATAAAAATTTGAAACTGTTGCAGTACAAAATAACTTGAAAAAATTGCATCTGTTACGCTAATGATAACGATTATGCCAGCGTACAAAATTGCATCATTTTTGGATAATTCTGTCGACTCAAATGAGTAATAGGCCATGAGTTTCCCAAACGCTATAGGACGGGCAATTCTGAAAACACGCCTGAATAGTAAACAAAATATAAATTTGAGGAGCATTACTTCAAAACCAAGTCTATGAAAGAACACAAAGTAAAGCACACAATTGCATCTAGTTTGAAAACTTTCCACATGGCTTTCCACAAGGAAGGTGAGGGATTTTTTTGAGTCTTCCATGCTTTTTCTAGCTGATTCGCTAAGCCTTCAGCTTGGTGATGCTGTAACGTTTGGTAAACGTCTTCCTCGGATATGTCTTTTTTCAAACCTGTTCTGAATATTGGCACTGTCCAGCTTTAACAATTTTGGTGAAAAAATTGATAGACCTGACAAATTGTATTAATTACCAGTAAAATAAGGCAGACAAAATATTTGAATTTTCTTGAGGGTGTGGTTTTAGTTTTCGTTTAGTAGGCCCATTTTGGTCCTCCATTGTGCTGTTAGCAAGAAACAAAAAAACAAATGACTCAATGTAATGCCTAAATTAATTGAAAAATAGTTTGTTTCAAAAGACCGATTATTGTCAAAGTAGTGTAGATGGTAAAACCCTAACCAAAATTTGTCTAACCATCCCCACCAACAACAAAATGACATCCACGCAAAATTTTGTACAATAACCACAAGTTAAATTTCATAAAATACACTCAACCCCAAAATTAACCGGACACTCATATATTTCCTTATCTACATTTTAAAATGTTTTGCAAAGTAATTTACAGTATTAGTACATATATAAAGATATAAAATAAAAGATATAGTGAAGTTTTTGGGCAGTATCATATCAAGGCAAGGCTATACAGTTTAATATTTAATTACATTGTTTATTGAATTAAAAAACTGCTGTTATATTTTTTCAAAAAACCTAGTTTCCAGTTAATTTTGAGGTCGACTGTAGTGCTTCATGAATTCGACATCTTTTTGTTTATTATTATTATAATTAATTTAGCTAATAATTTAATAACTTGAAAACGGGGCCAGTGTAGTAATTTTGGTAAGAAAAATGCAAAATTGTATTTTAATAGGGAAAGATAGAAGTTGATGCATTAATATTTTATTTGACGCCTTATAAAATTGCGGAAATAAGCATTTTCTGTGTTATCACATTGGTGCTTGGAATGTTAGGCAAATTTTGGTTAGGATTTTCCAATGTACATAATATTCTTAATGTACGTATAATACTCGGTCCAGTGGTTTCGAAGAATATGTATCTAATAAAAATCGACACAGACGACAGACAAGCAGACGGAAATGAGTGACCACATTTTTCGTACTCTAAACGTCATGAAGCTTTGAGAAAACATAAAACTGACAGGTCGCCCGAGGAACCCGATTACTATACTTTCTTAAGTTACACTTGAGAATAAAAACAGAAGTAACAAAATTAAATTTACAAAGAAGAAGTAATACTAATACTGAGAATTATAACCAAAAGTACATATACTTACATTAGGTACACCACATTTATCTACATTGACATCATGTAATGAACGTATTTTTAAAACTGTTGACAGATATAAATTCCAGATGGTAAAAATTTTGTTCACAAAAAAATTTAGGTTGAACAAACAATTTTTATTTATTTATTTATTTTTTTTTTATTAAAGCAAAATTTAAATAGCGTATATTTTCTAAATTTAGCCTTAACATTCACTCTCGATTTATTAAAGAGAGGTCCACTATTGAGAGATTTAAGACATTTTTAAACCTCTGCTGGAAAATAAAAAAAAATTGGTCGAAAGTTGTTTCGATAGAACCTCCCTCGCTCCTAAAGTACAGTGAAACATATCCAGCATTGTCGAGTGTTTGTTTATCTTAATACATCGAAAGAATGTGACGAAATTAGTTTGATTTGAATTACTTCACAGTCGAACAAAATGATCTGAATATTATAATTCATATTTTATTATTATTATAAAGACGAGTTTTTCACATTTTGGAGGAAATGGGGTGACTCGTTCTTTCAATGACCATTAAGAAATTGGTAATGAAGTCATCAACATGGATAAAACTAGTCACAGTACAAAAGAAAAGTAGTCGCAGCGTATGACCAATGGAAGAAAAAAAAAATTGGTCTAAAGAGTTTAGACAGTACTTCCCTCGCTGTCGGAAACTTGACGACTGCATGGCTATTGTGTTTTTTTCTCATTACATTTTTGTAGTGGGAATTTAAAAAAAAATGCGATGACGTCATCAACATTTTTGCAAGGACACGTATATCAGTTGGGATAGATGTAGTGTAATACTAAGAATAAAATTATTGTACTCCCAAATTTTCGGGAAAATGAATTGGGTCGTTTTGAATATTGATTTTTTATAATCAAGAAAATAACGAAACAATTTACTCATGTATACGGCAACTGAAAATCGTTTATGTATAAACATTCTTAATTTAAGATGACAAGCGTAACAGCATACGTGAGAGTCAAACAGAGAAACTGTAAACAAAACGACCATCGGTTTTATTGCTTCGACTTCCGCTTATTATATTTTATTTTAATTCTTGACGGTGAAATTCACAATTGGTTGATTATAAACATGTCTATTTCACATTCGCGGAACCAAGTGAACGCATAAAACAAATGCACGTCTGTAATGTTAAAGTCGATGTAAATAAGCGTGCTACCCTTATGTTTCAACCGAGTTTTTCCTTTAACAAATTTTGTGTCTACCAAATTGGGTTGGTTGGGGTGTAATACTAATGAGTGTTGCCTTTAATTTAATCAATAAAATAAATTGACTTCATTAATTTTTTTGAACCACCTCTTAAGAAAATCTAAAAAATATGAATGGAATGATAAATAACAAGTACAAACTCATCATATTTTTTGCATTTTAGATAGGATTTATTTAGCAAAATTTAAGGGTGACGTCATCAATTTTTTTAGGAGGGATGAACAAATACATTTTGAACAAAAGTTTACCATGCTTATAATAACTTTAAAATATTCCCAAGATTTCAAAGCATTCGGTTTTGTAATTCCTGATTAAATCGATAAAATAAATTCACGCCTTCATTAATTTTTTTGAGTCACCCTGCATATGCAAATCCAAAAATATGAATGGAATGATAAATCACAAGTACAGACTCATCATATTTTGTACATTTTAGATACGATTTATTCGGCAAACTTTTGAGCCGACGTCATCAGTTTTTTGTAGAAGATAACCAAATATATTTTGACTAAAAATTTATTATGCTCTTTATAACCTTAAAACATCTGCAAGATTTCAAAGCATTCGGTTTTGTAGTTCCTGATTAAATCAATAAAATAAATTTACGCATTCATTAATTTTTTTGAGTCACCCTGTATACGCAAATCGAAAAAATTTGAATGGAATGATAAATCACAAGAAGAGACTCACCATATTTTGTACATTTTAGATAGGATTTATTCAGCAAAATTTTGTGGTGACGTCATACATTTTTTAGGGGGGACGACCAAATACATTTTGATCAAAAATTTACCATGCTTATGATAATTTTAAAATATCTTCAAGATTTCGAAGCATTCGGTTTTGTAGTTCCTGAGTAAATCAGTAAAATAAATTTACGCTTTCATTTATTTTCTTGAATCACCATGTATATGCAAATCCAAAAAATATGAATGGAGTGATAGATCACAAGTACAGACTGATCATATTTTGTACATTTTAGATATGATTTATTCGGCAAATTTTCGAGCTGACGTCATCAAGTTTTTGGA